AAAAAAAAAAAAAAAAAAACCCAAAAGCCTAAAGATGTAGGTAATTTTCTCGTCCAAAATCTCGAAATTTTGATTTCCGAGCACAGCCAACTACCTGTGTTAGTATTGAGCGGTGGCTTAAACGTTTATTGCAATAGCAGAAAATGTCGCATTACCGTTCATCTCAGTGAATCAGTTTGCACACGTCGATTGTTTGACCTTGGTTCATATATTCTGCTTTGTTGCAGTAGGTAGATGCTTCTCGTTGGAGTCGGTTGTGTACCTTTAAGTAACCCAGGAAAAGTTGTTTTTTGCTTGCAATCATATATTTGTATGTGGAAGGCCTCATCACGGATGTTGCTCCAATACTCCCACGAACAACTTCAGCGATTTTCTCAGCGAGATCAAACTGGAAGTCAAAAATGCTTTCTCTCAGGGTAAAAAATTGAGCCAAAGTTCCATCTAAATTCTCACACCTCAGTTTTTTGCACACAAGGCCACCACTTTACCTAAATTTTTTACGCCTGAAAGTAATAAGTCACATGCCAGTTCCTTGAAAGTGGCCCATAGAACATCATTCTTGGCTAATCTACTTCGAGTAACTTTGGGATCATAATTGCCGAAATTCTCGATAAACTTAGCGGCAAATTGAGTAATGCCCGCCTTATCACTTCCTTGGATATTTCTTGAGATATCTTCCATTGAGGACATTTCACTGCGCGAAAAGCCAAATATTCGGGCCCGAATTCGCTCGAATACGGATCGGCGCACGCCGCGTATGCNCTAGGATTCTATTGCGTCACCATCACATATTCGAGTCTAGAATACTCTAGAATATTTTGGCTTTCACGCAGTGTTTGTTTCCGGTTTTCCTGAAAGTCCGTCGCTAGTCTCCCCGTATCGCTGATCACGTCCGCAAGTCGAGCCAACGCCATGCCGCCTTTCACTGCTTTTTGTGCCTTTTTTGCCATTTTCACAGCTGATTCATAGCTACCCCCAGGTCCTTCGAATAATTTTGGTGGGTTAATTGCTATCACTATATGACCAATTTCGTCCAAAGTGAGCCCTGTAATAGCCTCTGTTAATATGCTCTTAATCTGTGCCCCTAAGTCTTGGGAAAGTTCATCTGCCCTCTTCGTGAAATTGTCCAATTTGTCTTTAATGTACGTAACGTCGTTATCTGCAATTCCTTCGTCATATCTACTTATCCCTTGAAAGTAATTTGAAACTCTTTTTGTAGCGATTTGGTTTGCTGTTCGGCTTTTGAGCAATGTTGCTAAAAGTTGAATATTTTGCAGGGCCTTCTTCCTGAGGTCAACTAACTTTGCATGATTAACCCGCGGGAAACGACGTAAGTCCCGCGCCTGTTTGGGGACTTTCAGTTCTTTTTTCATTTTCTTTAGCACTGTGTATTGTTCATAAATTTGTTCAATGATGCAAACGTCTTAAGCATGGAGATCACGACAAGCTTTGATTGAGGAGAAGAACGACTTCTCATGCTTCGTTACTAAAGACATGGCAGTTTGTATGTCTGGGTATCCTCTTACATTTGCAACGCGATTAAAGAACAATTTCCACGTCAAGGTACTTGCGTATGCCTTTACTGTAGCTACCATCCTAGGGATCCCGAAGCTCATGCTGTATTAAGGATTTTAGAGCAGAAGAACGAAGAAGAAGATGATTATAGCAAAGGCTTCGTGCAACGAGATCGCTCGTCTTGTGCCATAGTAATGATAGCATCATTGGTACTGCTTCAAAAACATTGCAGCTGTTGTTATTTTACAAGCATTTTTAATCTGCGTACCTTGTGATAGCCAAGAAGAATCACGTTTGTTTTGTCCCCCAAAACACTCAGAGGCCGAAAGGCATAACTTGGTAACAGTAGGAGCTTTTGGGATATTTCTTAGATGGGTCTTAATGGGTTCACACATAAGATCGAGTGGAAAATCATATCCGGTGAATACAATGACGCTATGCAGAGAAACTTCTGATATTCCTGGAATGTTTTGATCATTTTACCGAGACCTCGTTCGTTATAGCCCTGTTCTAAATCCTTTGTAACGGAAAAGCCGCAGTTTCTTGACAATTGGCTCTCTTGGCTGCTCAACAAGGACGCGTATGAGCCTTTCATCTAACTCTCCTTCCGCGGAGTCGAGTTTTTCAAGATCTGCAATTTGCGAAGGTAGCTCGTCTAGACTTAGCAGCAGGTCAATCGTACGTTCAAGGGTTTGGTGGGTCCGAAAAGCTTTCAGATTTGCGATCATAACATCTCTTGCTTGAAGAGCATCGTGAACCGCCTGCCCCCATGTACATTCAGCTTGCACGTCGCCGGTAATTGTTAACAAGGTAACAATTAGCAAGATGCCTTGGACGCAGATAGCTTTCATCGTGCAAGTGGCACTCGTAAGTTGTGACCAAGTACACCTTTACACCTGCAACATAGAATC